GCCAGGAGGGCTGAATTTAAGGGGGTTAGATCGGTTTTAGCGCCGGACAAACGAGTGACTGGCTGGAGACGTCCCGGATTTACCGGGGCTCGGCACCGGCGCTCGCTCAGTCACGGTCCTTCAGAATCGGGTCCTAGGATTTGAAACAACGATCATAATTTTTAGGGGGAGAAGAATACAGGGCTTTCGCCTTTCGTACAGCTTCTCAAAAGCAGAATCCCCCTTTTATCAAACTTCTATTTCTAAGCGTACGGGAAATTCTCTCGGTTTCCTTTACTGAGGGTCTGCAACGTGTCTTGCATCTATCGTCAGGCGGAGCTGCAACAAAGGGGGGGGGGCGGAGATGGAAACATAACGACAAGTTTAATTAAAAACACCTGGCTAGTTAAATACGTGCAGAGAAGGAGACACCCCTGTTATTTACCTCACCTGCGATGGGCAAGCTGTTGCTTTATTCTCCCGAAATGTCCCGAGAACACCGGCAGTATTTGGTTTGAGGGAACTCTGCGGGCAAGGTTTGTAATCGTGGAAAAAGCGTAACCTACGCCCCCCCTCCGCTGACGGACATTTTCTAGTTTTCCGGGGAGCTGTGGAGAGCCAGCTCCTGGCATCCTCGGTCCGCGGCGCGACCGGAGACACCCATGTTAATTAGCAACATCCCTGGTCTTCCAGGCTTCGTTTCGGAACCGGAGTAACGCTACGGCCTTTGGGCAGCCCAGATGCTCCTTTTTTAGCCTAACAAGAAAGGTTTTATCACGGGCTCTTAGAGGCGCGAGCGAGAGTAGAAGCAGATTTAGGAGTTGTGAGTCTAAGCTACGGGAAGGCGCTCGGGCTTTGGGTTTCAGCAGTGTGGAAAAACCTTTCCCGTTCACACGTACTCTGGCTTTCCGTCGCGTTTGCCGCCTTTGCTAATGGAGAGATGTAACTGGAATCTTTGTTTAGACTGGGGCGGCGCGGGGAAGCTGTGGCGAGCGATGAAGACAAACGAGGTGTGTGTGTGTGGGGGGAACCTCTGGGGTTTTTTCGTTGTTGTTGTTGTTG